GAGAGAGAGAGAGAGAGAGAGAGAGAGAGAGAGAGAGAGAGAGAGAGGGGGATTTATTTTTAATACTTACTTACGACAGTCATAGTTTCAGATTCGGAAACTGTATTAAAGGCGGGTGCCTCACCGGAAACTTCACATTTATAGACTCCGGTTGATTGCAGCGTAACGCGTCGCAGCATTACCTGGGTGTCCGATGAGTTGCGTAACTGTAATGAAAAGTTTAAGTTAAAAAGCAAAAAAAAAAAAAAAAATTTTAAATAAAAATTTTAAGCTGATTTCGGTTACTCTGCAGGTTAAGTAAACTTTGTTTATTCGTTTAATTTTTTTTTTTTCTTAATTTTTGATTTTAATTTCTGTTAACTTATTTCAATTTAAAATCATGATTTTGTAGCTACGTTTTACTATTTTACTGTTGTGTAATGATTAATGATGTGGTATAAAGTTATGTTGAACAGCATCTAAAAATTTAGATAAACACAAATGTTTTGGAAATGTGTTGAAATAAGTTTTACTGTTTGTATTGCGGTTTAGAGCAAAAAAGCATAAAATTATCTAAATGAATTTTTAAATGAATGGCGATGCGCTCTCTAAAGTTATATGCAACTCATACTTCAACAATTAGCATAAGGGCAAGAACTATTATGTAAATATAATAATCGCGTTGAGTATCGGAAATAGGCTCTAAAAATAAAGTGCTGTAAAAAAACATCGTAGTAGGGATTATTCGGTCGGTGACATGATTTTCCTACAAAGAAATATGCTTTATGATTATATACAAGTAATTCTCTTTTTACACGAATTCCATTTACACGAAACCTGGTACGATTTAAAAAAAAATTCCCTTTTTACACGAATTGTTTTGCTTTACCACGGTTTTCAGATTTTATGAATTTCTTTTATGAATAATGAATTTTTCTGATGAATTTTCTTTTTTCTTGATGGTTTTATGAATTTTCTTTTTTCCGCTTTATATTTTTCACAATTCAGTTAAGTTATGTCAATTAGACACTTATATGAGTAGGACTCCCCGAATTATGCATAGAGTGAAAAAGTATTGTTTACGCAATTTCAAAGTATAGTTTATTTTTTATAATATATTTAATGAATTAAAATCTGCAAGCACGAAATAATTGGTCAACTCTAATGAGAATTTTTAAATGTTGCTTACAGTATTGTTTAATTGATTTCTTAGGTCTCCAATCAGTGCATTTTTAGAATTAAACAAAATTCTAGTTTCCGAATATTGTGCGAAGTACTTTTTTGAACCGAATCACCAACATAGTGAAAAAAGTGCTTTGCTCTAACATCGTCTTGGCAGTATCATCGTTGATCAGAACGTCTTAGAAATATTGAAATTGCCTGCCTCGAACCATCTTTTGCACGTTTTCGCGGAAACTCACTGAAGGTTCTCGATAAATTTCGCTTTGGTAGCACTATTGGCTTGTTCTTATATATGACCAATAGTAGTAGACTGGTGCACCACCGTTTAGTTATTCATATAACGAATTTTGAAAATAGGGCACTGTACGGGGAAAGTGTCGGGGGCGAACCATTTTTTGGAATGTTCGTTCTTAGGTTAAAACACATCAGTGTATTAAATCTTATTAATATATCTCAAATATTGCGAGCTATATATTGAACACAAGAAAACAAGATGGAGAGGCCGATACACAAGCTTAGATTGACTCAGGAAGTAATTCTAAATCGATCGCTATGGTAAAAGGTGGGTCTATCTTAAGTCCCTTTCGGTGTCGCACCATGCGACGGTACCATCTGCACTAGAAATTTTTTTTTGCTCCTGTTATCCACAATTTAAAGGTTCACGTTGATCTTACGCCAATTCCCATGCAAGACTGAAACGATTTCGAGCTTTCTTCTAATGTTACATTTTAGGGTTTATTGAATTGACTCCAGCCCATTGTTTTCTTGTTACTGTCATCGTCCCACGTCAGAAAAATTGATATCTATTTTCCTGAGTTTAAACCAAATTTAAAAATGAACAAAGTCCTTACAACTTAAAACAATTTCACCTTAACGAAAAGGACCTTTACAGCCTTTCAAAGCAAGCTACCTAAATGCTTGGTTTATGTTGCATATTTGGGTTTATTATAACTAATCGAAGCATTTTCTATGTAAAGTTACTTTTCGTTAACGTGAAACTTTTTTACTTCACTTAATCGAATTCGCAACTAGGCCAACATACGTAGTTATATATCAGTATAAATCATGTGCATAAAGAGGATTAGAGACTAATTAAATTCTTATCCTGCCGGTACCTGACGAATGCAGCTAGTCAAGAACGAGGACAGTTTTCTCTTAAAAATATTCAAGGCGTAGGCAAAGGATTTCAAAGGCCGTGACAATGCATTTCAGTATCGAGCCGAAAGATCACAAAAAAATCTTTCAATGGTCTTTTAACTCTTTTATGTTTCTTTTTTCTTCGACCAGCCACTCAGGGGTATCACCTATACGTGTAGGCATGGTAGTTGGGTTGAAGAGAGAAAACGGGCGTATAGTGTTTATGTACTTGGCTTGAAACTGGACACATCTACTACATTAGATTATTCAAAGGGCGGGCCGTGCGATTAAAGAATGGCAAGTCGTAGTAGGGTGTCATGTGGTACTTCGGTACCGCCAGAAAGATTTGCGATCAGCAAACGACAAAGAGACAAACGAGGCATGTACATGGACATGCTTAATTTTTGCTTTATTATACACATTACACACCTAATCCGTCAAAACAATCTTTGTCTGTTTCGTTGCTAAACTGTCTCATCAGACGGAAACGCCAAAAATAATGGAAAAGAAAAGACGATCCTGCATAATAGTAGGGGCGCTATGAATGCATCAAGACGCGAATAGATATCTTTCCAATAAATTACTGCACGAAATAAATGGTGTCAACAGGACGGACACCTACTTGCTTAGATTAGCCGTAGAGTTCTTCGTAAAAATTTCAGCGGTAACTAAAGATGTAAATCTCTCTAAAGGAGGAGAGAAATCAATTGCAACCGAATTGACTTTATCCATAGCAAAGTTAGACATCACACAGTGTTACGTTTGCTTTTTAATTAATTATAGGTTAGGTTAGATACAAGCCTAGATACGAAATTACCTGTAGCGGTTTTTTGATTGACATAGAACAAAACTTTGACAGAAAGAATAATAACTAATGAGCTCGTTCGTCTGTTAAAATGCGTATACCCCTTTTTAGAAAGGAAAAATAAATTATTAAAAATTGAAGAAAAAAATGAATGTTTTATAGCGAAGTACGTACATATCAGAGTTTCCAAAAATCCCACGAGTACTTGATTAGCCCAATATTTGGAAAACAACAAAACTAGTACAGAATAAAGTAATGAAAACGTGATGGCTACATTGACATTGTATATTGACATTGACATAAACGAATTCAGAATTTCACTGCTGTTTTGTCACAAAATATATAAATAACGAAAATTTATGAAAGCAAGATAAACTAAAGTAAGAAAATAATTGGAAAACATGGGAATAATACTTGTTACAAAATGTTTCAAGCAAGCTTTATATTCGAAAAGAAGCTTTCGTACCTAGTGAATCAATTGCTGGTTTACTGAATTCTAGACGAAGAAGAATTCTACGTTATCACTACAAACGGCTTAATAGATATTGAAGCTGATTGGCTGTAATACTACTAGAAGGTCTCATGTGCGCATCTTGACTTTGATACGCTGTCATTGTAGGGAGAGAAAATTTATGCGCAATCGATTTTCTTATACCCTACATCACCTGTGGTATTAGGATTAATTGAGTTTAGTTTGAGAATGTATGCCACACCCAGAAGGACAGGGGATAAACCCAACTTTAGTTAAAAACTTATTCTGAATCGATTTAATCTTGTCCGTCCGTCTGTCCGTCTTGTTTTCTTGTGTTATGTGGTACGCTGACGTTGTTTTGGGCCAAGGTCAAACGCAGACGCCAAGGCGGTGGTAGGACACGAAAGATTATTGAATACCCTATATCACTTTGCATAGCACGTCACTGGTCTTGGTAATTATACACCAAAAATTGCATATCATTTTCGCACACAGGCATAGTCCTCATTGAAGGTCGCTTGTTGGAGGATGTCCAAAATTGCACATGCGATCTAAATTTAGTAAACTTAATTTACTTCCCAAAAATTTCATTATTTCTCTGTTTCCGTCATAAAAAACTAGAAAACCGACATTTTCTTCTTATAAGTGCTTGCTTTCGATGATAACCAATATTTACGTTAGGGTCTTAAAAACAGATCTGTATGATCCAAATTGTCAACCACTAGTATTATAATAATAAAAATTAACACCTTTTTAGAAGAAATACCCATTCATGAGACATCGTGAGAAATAGACACATGTGGTTCAAATTGGGTCCCCTAAAACATTAAGACTAAGGCCTTTCGGCTTCCTAAAAGATTTTATATACGTTGGTATCCAAGAAGTATTGAAAATTGTACCTCTTTACCAGACAAAGATTTAATTTTCGAAGCAATGGTCATATGACAGGGTATTCATAAAGTTTCTCCGCACGAAGCAAATTTTTCATACTCATTTAAAACGTCGAAAAATTTTTAAAATTGCAATTTGTTGGTCCAAAAAGTGGGCCGGTCCGAACCGTTTTCAATGGGGTTCATGACGCCAATGAGCCAAATCTCGTCGACACATCTCAGAAATTACGACTTGCAGCATTAACACAAAATAACGTGGACTGATATCAGAGGGGCAAACGGACATATGGGCGGACATGTTTAGATCGACTTAGGAAATAGTTTTGAATCGATCGATATAATAAAAGATGCGTCCATCTTAAGCCTTTCTGTATGTAACGTACGTCCGCATAAACTTATTGTGTCTTCTATCATAAGTGGTATAATGTATGAAATTCTCCATTATGATGAGAAAGAAAAATTAAAAGTATATTCAAGAGATATTAATAAAGATCAGAGCGTTAATTTTGATGAAGAATTACATCTAATCTACTTATTGTGCCCGAAAGTTGGTTGAAACTTCTCTTATTAACGATAAAATAAAAATAAGGTACCAAAAAAGTCCGTTCGATCTTTTGAAATCGTGACATATCAAAACCTTGCTCAAATACTATAAAGCTTTGTACCATGCATAACAGTTACTGTGTTGTACAAAGGACGGCTGCACACCAAAGACGACTTTTTATTGAGTCCACTTTTTAT